TCAAAATGCTGAATTCAGCTGATCACTACAATAGAGTGGGCAATCTCAGAGCTGCATGTATCCCCAGCTCCACTTATTTTGCAGCCCTCATGGCCTTCTGAAATCACAAACTCTGGCATGATTTTCAAACAGAAAACTATGGAATTCTGTAGTAGCTTAATATTGCTGAACAGCAAAGAAATACCCAAGAACATCTGCTTCCCTAAACCAAAATAAGAAAAATGTTGGTGAACTTTGGGTCACTTATTATTGCTTTGTCAACTGTACTCTCCAGAAAATGCTAATGAACCCCCCAATTATCAAAAAGTAACTTCTGTCCTTCACAAATTGCAATGGTCATGGACAACCCTGTATTTGTTATGAAAGCTTTCTCGCCTGGTGCTCTATAAACCTTCAAAATCTTGGCCATTGTAGCTGAAACAGGCTGAGCTGAATTGCTATTTGAAAGAGATCAAGTTGCACAAAGATGCCTTAAAGTTATTCTCTCATTGCTTCTTTTTATTTCATTGAATGATGATCAATGTGGGATTCCAGGTAGCATTGGAGCACAATTCATATCACTTCTTACCATTGGTTATGCTGACTAGACCTAAAGGACATTAGACTTCAACAACATTTACTGTATTACACATGGATCATCACTAGATCCAGATTCAAATTTCTAACTCCAGCCAAGAAGTTAAGTGAGTGATCTCAAGTCTTCATTATCTCTCAGCATACTTTGTAGATCCCAAGGCTTCAAAGGCTTGTAAGGAAAAACAAGACAGGAATAAACTGCCCCAGGTTCCTTGGATACGAGGAGCCACATGAATGGAAAAATTAAATAAACAGCAGGAATAAAATTTGAAATGGCTTCTCAAGCAGTAATAAGTTAATGCTGATGCATTCTCTAAGTTGCCATCTAGAAGCTGTTCTGAAAAAAAATGCCTGTTTTGCTGCTATTGTGGGAGGAACATGCACACTTTCTGCTAACTGAAGCACTGACAACATTAAGATGCCAAGAAAAAAGCAAGAGAAAGATAAAAGACATCTGCTGTCATATGGATTTGCTTAGAATCTTTTCCATACAGGAATGACACATCCCTCTATAGATCTCTAGGTAAACATCAACTTCACTTTCACACTGATCAAAATAGTTTCTTTTGAAGAGAAAAAAAATACCAGCCAACTCCCACGCTGTATATAACAAACTCTTTGTTTTTCAGAGATCATCCTCATTCTGTTGCAGGGCTCCACAGAGTACCTAAAACATCTCATATGCAGATTCAGATAAATAAAACTACATAACATATTTATTTAGACCTTAATTGTCTCTATACTGCAATACACTTTGTGTCGTTCACTGCAAAAAGAAAAGTTAGGTTCCCATGTCTTAGGAGCATACAGTCTAAATAGACATCTCTTCCATGGGTCTACTATCCTTACATTCTCTTGAAAGAATAATTTATTTTGTAATTCTTTATTCTATTTTCACTTATTTTACTTTTTTCTTCTGTTTTGCATGATTTTCCCTCCACTCATTTCTGATTCTTCCATAATCAGCATTCACTGAAGCATAATATGCATCAGCATCTGATGCATTTTTATTTCATATATGTCTACAACACCTTCTGATAATACTTTCATTCTTAATTAAATCTACATCTGTACATCTGTAACTCACACGCCAAATCTGAATTATAAAGGTTTAAATGCAGGAGTAAACAATTCCTTATTATAATATGTTTGGTTTTCATTTATTATGGCATAAATTTTCATGGGCTACAGTCCACTTTATTATATCGGTGGACACGTCTGAGGACTTTGTTTCTGTCTATCTCTGTATTGTGACTACAGTTGTCTGTATGTGTTGTGAATGCAGACTGCATGCCAGACATCAGGCTCATACTCACATCCCCAAGAGCAAAAAATAACTTTCTGTCAGGTACATTCTCAGGGCAGATCTGCACTTTATGCCTGGCCCATTAACAGTACTGTACAAGCCACTCACCCTTTCCTGCCTACAGGATTGGAGGAAGCTGTTCTCCTATTCCCGGCCTTTTGAACATGCATTCTGCAGGCACGTTTTGCAGCTTCAGTTCAAAACTGTTTTCCAACCTGACCTTTCTTAAGCTCCTCAGAGCAGATGGTAGCCAACACTTAGTCCTGTTCTAGTAGGAGCCCCAGCCATGATTGGCGGCAATGCTTGGTCACTGGTCACTGCCCTGGGCAGTCATTTCATCCTGGGCTGCCAGGCTGCTATGTCCTCTCTCAGTCAGCAGTCTGCGCCTTTTGATTTTATAATCTTCTAATTGATCCAGTAATGGCTTTAAGTCAATGAACAATCCTCAGTCCTAGAAGCTCATGCTCCTTTCAACTCTTACATCTCCTGGTGGCATTCTTTCCATTTGTGCCCAGGCTGAGTGGAGCCAGCTTCTTTTGCTTTCCTCCCTCTGCTCATAGGACTGCCAAACGTTCCTTCTCTTTATGTTTCAAATAATGTTGCTATTTAATTTCTCTAAATCTGGGTTACAAATTTGTGCTTTCCACAAAGTTTCCATGGACCCACAAGAATGTGGGAGCAAACAACACCAACATTTTCCTCATTATTGTATCATTTAAAGCTGCAATATAAATATAATATATTGGGGGGGGGGAAGGAGGCCACATAAGTGTCAAAAGAAATAATTTGGGAAGTGGGGATTGATGGCATCTATGTAGGCAAACAACTGGGAAAGCAAATGCAAGGCATAGGAAATAATGGAAAGAAAAGCAGCCACAGATAGATACAGTGACATCTGCCTTTCCTTCCTGGGTGGAAGGGTAAGAAGCAGGAAATGATCAGCCAGGTCTGAAAAAGTAACTTTATACCACTCCTTGCATTTATGACCATCAAAACATCTTCATAGTTACGTGATTGCCATTTGTGCACTTCACAACTGATTTCCAACAAGCAGAATCAATGGAAAGCTGGCAATAAAATTGCAAGTCCTGGTCATGTGATATCTTGCTTAATGATCTCTGGTGGCTCGATTAATGATCAAGTGGAAAGTGATGTCATCAGTTGCAATCACTTGAGGTTTCACTTGGCAACTGCATCACTTAGCAATTGAGTTGCTGGCCCCAGTTACGGTCATTAAGCGAGGACTACCTATACTCACCATTAAGGTGAGTGAAGCAATGTCCATCAACAGGAGACTCTAAGGGGCAGCAACAAGGCGTGGGAGAAGAAAGCAAAGTTCTATATAGTGGCCTTCACAGGACTTGGTTCACTGACTCAAGGAAGGTGTAGTTATGATGAGAAGACCATAACAATGTCAAGAATTTCTAAATTCCAGAGTCCCAATGCAGTAAATAGGACTGAGGATTTAGCCAACCTCCTCTCCTTGTTTCTGAAATAGAAATTATATCCTAGAGTGGCCTTAAAAACTTTTCTAAAAACTCAGCCATCATTTCCCTTGTTACCATCCTGCAAATACACAAGGCAGGAGAGGAGAAAGTGGGGTAAGCCTTCCTCCATGTTGGTACTGATCCAAATTTAACCATCACCATTTTGTTTTTGCATGTGCCAAAAATAGGAAAGAACTGACTCAAGACATGATAACTGCAATCCAAGCCATCCAGTGACCACTCTTTCCTACAGAGATTTTTAAAATGTTAATTATCCATTATATACATTGCAGATCTGCCAGGAGTATGTAAGTAAGTTTGCCCTTGGGAAGAGGCTGGCTCAGTGGCATTACAAGATGACCAGCTTAATGTGTGGAAGGTGCTGCCAGTTAACAATCCTGAAAGGGAAAAAAAAATACATTTCAGCATCCACTGAGTTTTCAAAAGCTGTTAAACTTCACAGTCTTTTCCTTCACAAAGTAACAACAAAAGGAAGGAAATCTGTCTTTCACTTGAACTCTCCTTGGCGCTTGGAAAGTGAACAGAAATTCCGACCTGTCACATCTTCCTTCCTCAGAACAAACACACACACAGAAGCACACACACACACAGAGTCCACTTCCTCAGAAGGCTTCTTTCAAAGGGCAGCCAGTCCAAGACCATGTCAGTCGCTCATTCACTTCGGCTCTGCAAAGATGAGGAGGGAGCTTGTTGGTCAGGACTGTAGTCCCGGCCATTTGGTGACCACTCTTTGGATAATTAAGGGGCAGGATCCCAATTCTGCTTTGGCTCCAGTGGTTCTCGGAAAAGAAAGTTGTCCTCAAAATCCTTGCATTCCGTGAAAGAGGAAAGTAACTAGTCCCTGAATTCAATTTCACCTTTAAACTCTGATAACAAAAAGGGGAGGACCTGTCCCTAAACCAACTCCTGTAAGCACTACAAATCCTGCAAAGTTTTGTGAGTTATTTGTCCCTTTTTCTCTTCAATGTGCTCGACCACAGCCTGGATTGGGGCAGTACGTCAAAGATTCTCAGTCATCCAAGTAGAGTTGTCTGGAAGTTGAGTCATGGCAACTGGGCTTCTTTTGGTGTTGGTTCGAAATGTTTTGCTGCTTATTTAGCAATTTATATAAGCAGATAAGGAGAGAAATGTTTGGAACCCACAAACACCAACACAAAAGAAACGAAATGTTTGGAACTCACAAACACGCACACAAAAGAAGCCCAATTGCCATGACTCAACTTCCAGATTCTGTCAGATGACATAACAGCAATGTTCCAATATCTCAGGTGCTGCCACAAAGAAGAGGGAGTCAAGCTATTCTCCAAAGCACCTGAGGGCAGGACAAGAAGCAATGGATGGGAACTAATCAAAGAGAGAAGCAACCTAGAACTAAGAAGAAATTTCCTGACAGAAATTTGGACTTGCCACCAGAAGTTGAGGGTGTTCCAATACTGGAAGTTTTTAAGAAGAGATTGGACAACCATTTCCTGCCTGAGCAGGTTAGACTAGATGATCTCCAAGGTCCCTTCCAACTCTATTATTCTGTTCTGTTTTGTTCAGCCGCTTCAGCGGGGAGGACAAACGAGGAGGCTCCCCGAACACCCGAAGTCCCGCATGTTCAGTCTTACCTTGCCGTATTTCTTAAGTCTCCTCTTGCGCGCCTTACTTGCGCGCTCCGTTTTCCGTGGCGGCGGCTGCTCGCCGTCCCAAGCGAGAGGCTGGTACTTGTCCGGGAGGGCGGCAAACGCCACTGTTTTGGAGGCGCAGCCAACCTCTTCTTCAGGGTGGTCCTCGGGAGACTTCGGGGCCTCTACTTCCCGCTGTTCCTCCCGCTCGAGGATGGAGACCTTGTCCTCCGCGGGGCTGCGCCGCCGGCGGAATTTGGCCCTTAGAGCGCCCGCCGTGGGCATCGCGCCGCCGGCGAAAGGCAGGGACGCTTTCGAAATCTTCCCTCCGTGCCCCCCTCGCGTCCCCCCGAAACAGGCCGCTGAATTTCCCTTCGCAGCTGAGCCCGACAACAGGTGGAGCTCCAGGAGACAGGCGAGAGCGAACCTTTGTCGGGTCCCACCGCACGAGACGGGGAGTGGCGGGTGAGGGAGCGCCCTTCCTTACTCTGGGCAGGGATTTTGCAGCGCCTCTCCAGAGTTCAACGTCCAGCCACGCGTTGCATTGTTGACACTGCCAGGCAGCGCAGCCTTGGACGCTCCTCCGGGCTTCCAGCGCCTGACCTTGCGCAGGAATCCAGCGCTGGGACTTTTATGATCAGGCCAGGAAGGAAAAGCCGGGTCTTTTTTTTTTTTTTTTTTAAAAAAAAGGCAGAATGTCCGTTAGCTGAAACTTTTTTCATCGGATACTAAAGGGATTTGCTTTGGAGTAGGAAGAGTTGTGGTTCCAGTTGCCCTACTACTCCCCCCCCCCGTTGTTTTTAAACCTTTTACTATGTAATCTGGTTTCAACTTTGTAATAGTAAAACTAGAATTAACAAGATTAGGTAATTAAAAGTTAAGAAACCACTTTACTTATCTGTAGTTATATAAAGGCCCACTTGAAAATAAAGAAGCCAGCTTCTCCGTGCAGTTCAGAAACAAGAGAAGTGAAGTTCTTATGTCTGATATACCTTCCCAGGTGATCATGAAAACCCCAAATCTCATCAAAACAAAATAAATAATAATTATTATTTAAAATATGAAGAACCTCATGAGTGACTATTAATATGTCCTCTTGATTTTCTGGCAGCAATATGGAAGTACTGAAATGTTTTATTTCTTAAGTTTTATTTCTTAAGTACCAGATAAGCTCCTGATACTTGCTTTATTGGAAAATTTATTGAATGAAAGCAATAAAATAGTTTGTTTTTGTTCAACGTTTTCACCTATCCAGTTTAACCTACATTTCTACTGTTTTTTTGGAGATTTGTTATCCAAGTACTAAACAAGGTCATTTAGCTTCTACATTGAGGAAAGTGCTACCACCTGCTGAGGTTTTCATGTTTTTGAACTGCGCTTCCAGTCTCTAGTCATCAAGGTTTTAAAATATTCTCAAGCAGGGTGCACTCTTGTTTACTCCTGTAATTGCTCATCTTCCTGAAAATATCAAGAAATCCAATTATCTTTTACAAGTCAATAACCCTTTGTAAAGTTCTTGATTGATTTTGACAAAATTTGTCCTGACAAAATTTAACTTAATTACAGAGAGAAAAAGAGAAAAGAAATTATATTTATGAAACAGGAGGTTCTGTTAACAGGAGGTTAGTAATTGCACAAGGGCTAACCTAGACCTGCCATTAATCCACATTCTATTTATTATGCAACAGACAGGCTAGGGTAGCCTGAGCAGCCATTCCCACCACTTTCTATTTACATAACAAACAAACCAAGAGGCTGGCTAATTGAATTCATCTAATCAACACTCAAGCTTAATTTAGGTCTCATAAAAGAACTCAGGGGAATAAAAAAAAGGAGAAAGACTTGGAATAAATACCACCATTCTTTTTGAAATTTCTACAGTGTGCTTTCCATGCAGACTGCAGAGATTTATAGTCATGTTGCCTGTCTGAATTCCCACAAGTCATCTAGCAATAACAACATTCAGAGTTTGACATATATCAATGCACAGTATCTGTAAGAAATTCATAGTACTGTACTATGAACAAACTTCTATGGCTTTATGTGCTACGTTATATTGTATGCTATAATTGTTTCTTTAGTTATCTATCCTGCTTGCAGAAGTTTATTCGCAACCTTCTGATTTCTTCAGACATAGTTAGTATAGGAATTCAATAGAGCAGACCAAGTATTATCTTATGCTTCAATGTCCAACTACATTAGAATTCCTAACTATTAAAATATCAAGAATTACACATTTCCCCCCACCCCAAAGGAACCATCAGATTAAGTGCTACAAGGACTTCAGTTTCTGATGCTCTTTGCAAGAAAATGTCTACATACTGTACAGTCTGAGGTCGAATGAAAAGACACAAACCTGATCTCTTGACTTAAAATGCTCAAAATAGCTTAAAACAACGGTAGGCATCTGGTATCTGCAGGTGAACTGCAAGTTCCTTCTGTGATGTGGAGACCTAGGATACATGTACAGATAGTCCTCGACTTACCATCATTTGTTTAGTGACCAAAGTTGTGACAGCACTGAGAAAAATGTTTTACAAATAGTCTTCATTCTTACGGCTATTGCAGCTTCCCTGCAGTCAAAATCTGGGCACATGGCAACTGGCATGTATTTACAACAGTTGCAGTGTCCTGGGGTCACGTAAGCGCCATTTACAAAATGCCCAGTGGGTTCCAACAAACAAAATTAATGGGGGAAGTCATATTCACTTAATGACTGCATGATTCACTTAACAACTGCAGTGATTTGCTTAACAGCTGCAGCAAAAAAAGACTACAATGCTGCAAAACTGTCTTAACAATTGTCTGGGTGAGAGCAGAAATCTAAGTAGTCGCTGAATTAATGGAGCTTTGTATATTTTATAAACTTTTTAAATCTGTTCAACCTCCACATTCACTTCCCTTCCCATGGAAAATAATATCTGTAATTTGCATCTAAAAATGAAATAAGGTACATCTAAAAATGAAATAAGTATTCTTATTATATGAAAGCAGACCCGTCTCTCAAAGTGTTTTACTATGGCTCAGGAAGGTGTAAAAAATGATAGTGGCTCCCTATGCTGCTGATGCAGAAGGGGTCTTATTTGATATGTGAAGCAACTAGAAGAGAAAATCCTCAACTATTTGTGAAGTCCTTCTAAGCAATTAAAATTGTATTTATCCAAAGCTCAGTGGTCTCATTTTCCAAAAAAGGCAAATTCTTTAAGCCAAATGTCTTGATTCAGTTTTATAGCTATAATTATTCAAGCAGTTGCTTTATATCATTTTGTAGCAATCAAGGCATGCTACACTGAGATGTTGTGGAACTTATATAGTTACAAAAACTAAACCAGTGAGGTAAATCTAGTTAAATGTCATTTTAAAAATGAAGCCTTTTATAATCACTATATTAATGGCTATTTCAAACTCACATTATTTCTCTGAACAAATCTTTTGTTTGGCTATGCGGATCTCTGTTGTTTGCACTGAATGTTCACCAATGCCTGGAAGGAATATATGGAACAGTTATTAACAAGTGCACACTTGCTCTGATAATATAAAGAATTTAGACTATGTTGTTTGCACCTACATTTAAATCCAGTGGGAACTTTTTATAAGACTTCTGCATGATGCAAGATGCAACATCTGCTTAATTAAATTACAATCTCCCATATACATTTCAGCTATTTGAAGGCAGAACTTTAATACAACTTGGTTTTGGCTCACCAAACTGAAAAAAACATTCACTCTAGTGTGTATACTATAGCTATTCTACTGGCATGAGTTTCCACATTGTATGATGTTAAAACCAGCCAAATAACATTATAATTTAACATTATGTACAAGCCAAAACAATTTGGGGCTGTGGATGGGGCTGTGGATTGTAATGAATGTGGCTTTGGTGATCAAAAAAGTCTACATCCAAACACATACTAAGGCATAAATCAGATGTAGATTGTCCCAAGTTCATTTGTACCATTGTGTTTTATTTCTATTGTTAAACTTTGGAGTACGCTTTGATAATATGGTGTACTAATGTGCTAAATAAATTTTTTAAAAATGAAATTAATTAAAGTAAGAACCTGGACTTACAAAACTGATTTACTTCTAGAAATAAAACGTAGTGCATTCAGGCTAATTTTATACAGACATTTTGAAATAGAAAATTTTGATAACTCTGCAAGTCTCAGTCATGTAACTGAATCATCATGGGAACATCAGCAATCAGTGAATGGGTGAATAGATGGATGGATGTAGAATATTCACAAATCTCTAAACTTCTCCCGATACAAAATATGAAACCACTAAATCTTCCCTCCCCTTTCTCACAATCCCTTTGTGAATGGCATCCCAGAACATCCAGTAGAAATTGCTACATAAAGAGTAAGGCAACATGTTTGATAGTATGGAGATCTGTTCAAGTAAGTTTTTAATAGAGTGCACCAGTGAATGTGAATTAGCATGACTTTCATTAAAAAAAAAGTTTAAAGGAGTACCAGATAAAAAGGAACACAGTTCTTTCTGGCCAAAACATCATCTGTTTCCTAAGACAGTACATGTTCATTGCTGAGCAGAACTGTTACAGAAGAGCTACATCACAGTACAGTACAGCATCTCAAGTCCATCTGTCAGAAGCCATTCTCAAATGGCACATTTAGCTACACTTACAGCCTTCTAAATTCAGGTTACAGAGTTTACCACATTTTTTTTTGCTTTTTGCTTTTAAATAAAGTGATAATTTGGGGTGATTTTTCTAATCTTTATAAAAGTGTGCAGATGGGGCCATATGTTGAAGTTACATAAATTACAACATTAAATAACATTGCACAACCAACTGCTATGATTAATTCAGTACAAGATAATATTAAAAATGTACCATATCCTAATGGTTTTGCAGTTTGAATCACTAATTATGAAGGGGTTGTCTTACCTAGGCAACTGCCTGCACACAGCTGCACTTCACAGGTATAATGATTTTATAATAAATACAAGAAAGTGGGCAAAATATTCAAAACTCAAAGATACATGTTAACAGAATTTATACAATCACATCAAACAATGTAATAAACAATCTAGGCTTAAAAGTATATGAAGATCCATGTATTCTTTTGGGGGAATTATTCTAAAACCAGTTAATTCCTGAGGTGGCATTTAACATTAATCATAGTTTCATAATTCTTGTGCTATGAAAATCTCAGTATGAAGGTAGCATTTTCACAAATTGGGAATTGTAGTCTTCTGAAGGTAGCAAACTGTATTTCATACTACAATATGGATATATTATGCATATTTTTACTCTAGTGAATCATTTGATCCAAGAATCTAAGGACATTTAAGATTGCAAATAAAAGTAATCCAACATTTTACTTTATTCCCCAGTATGTTTCAGAACCCATTTTCTTCACTAAGTGCCAACACTGTAAACTTGTTTGCATTTTTTTCTGAACTAAACACTGTTTCATAAGGGATGGTAAGAGTGAAAAGGGGAAACAGGAGGAATCCTGTGTAGACTACGTACCAACTTTGTTTTACTGAATTTATATGTGGTTTGTTAGAAAACAAAACTGATTAAGCTACACTTCTGAAAACCATTTTTGTGCATTTTTTTTAAAACTATGGACAGGTTTTTTT